CCTATTTTTGTAGTTCTCAACTCTCAAGGATGCTTCTTTATTCTTGTGCTTTTTACCTTTAAGATGATCCTTCAAGGCTTGCTCATCAGTGGTAGTAATTATCTGAAAAAGAGCACAATTCCACTCATGATTAGGTTTCTTTTGTAAACTAATGAAGAATGCTCACTGTCATCAACTGCAGGAGGTGTCACAGCTTTGCGCTTCGCACCATGAAGAACCGCATCTGGCTTAGCCTGTAATGGGACACTAAAAAAAACTATATATATCGTTTCGAGCCAATTAAGAGCTTCAGCATTCCCCATATATTGATCAGGATTAGATATATCATACATACATTCATTCATTAAACAGTCCAGAACTGTATGACAAATATCAGATGATTCATATTTAAAAAAGAAAAAATAACTAGACTGAATCCAATCTGCAATATGCAACACCAATAATGGAGAAACCAAAACCCTAATTGTTAATGAAGCGATTTGGATTTAGAATTATGTAATTCTCTTAATAAAAGTAGGAGTCTCGGTACGGTGTTTTTAGTTTTTAAATATTTTAACAAGAATATTATATATAATTCAAATTGTACAAAATATCAAATAGCTAGTGTGAACGGAAAATTTATAGATAAATTAATAATTTAATAAATATAAATAGTATATATTAATATACATTTATGAAAATATAAATATATTAGAAGGACACTTGCCAATATATTTTGATGACTAAAATATGCAAATTAGATGTTTAATATTTATATCATATATTTTTAATTAATCTTCTTCTTTAATTTATTATCATTAAAATCATTTTTATATTTATTTTATTATTTTTCAATTTCTTATCTCTTTGAACATATTATTTTTATTTTTTTAATATTTTATTTTAAAAATATATTATTTTTAAATTTATTTTATATTTTTTTGGAAAAGATTATTAAAAATTAAAATAATTTTTTATCATGATATATTTTATTTATGATTCAAATATTCAATCTATGATTCTTTACCTATCTTTTAAATTTCTTATTAAATTTTCCTTAGCTTTTGTTAAAAAATTTGACATAATCCAAATCTTTACGTTAACATCTTTTACATATGTAAATATTACAACAATCTCACTTTTAAATTAAAATCAAATATTTTTTTTATATTTTAACAATATATCTCTTATTTTATATATTTAATTATTATTTAAAAATTATCATAAATTTTCTAAAATTACTTATATATTATTAAAAATATATTTTTAAAAAACCAAATGCTACTATTAATATAGTATTTATTCATTGTAATTAGTGTAATATTCTATAAATATTTAAATGAAATAATGTTTTCATTATATAATATCAATTATATATATCAAAGTAGTAAAATATTATTTAATTGATGTTATTAATAAATTTTTCTAATAAATATTTAAATAAACTGATACTTTATGATAAAGTATTATTTATCTTATTTAATAAACATAATACTAATTAATATATATATATCTATATATATATTAAATATAAACTTTTTAAAGTGAATATAATTTATTATAAATCTATTATCAAATAAAATATAATTATTAATAAATTTAATATTTATATATGTATATTAATTTATATTATTTGTATGTATATATAATTTATGTTATAATTTTATTTAATTTATTATTTTAATAAATTATTTTAAATTTAATTATATATTTTATAATTATTATCAAATAAATAAATGACAATAAGCTAAACATATTTTAGCATATATTTTAACCAAAAGTATATTTTTCAAAATATATTTTTAAATATTCACTTAAATACTTTAAATTATATATTTAATATAATAGAAAAGTAATTAGTAGCACAATATTTATATCTATAAAGAAGAAAAATGTAATTTATTTTATATTTTAACAGATGAGAAAGGATAGTGTTTTTTTTTTTTGAAACAGCAAATTTCATTTAACTTGTGGCACTAGGGGTGCCTCAACCCCATATTTACAATGTGCTGATTAAGTGTAATTTAACCCATATGGACCAAATTACATTAATCAAACCAACATACAATTTTATATTCAATTTCACTGCATCATGACTCCTAAGCCAGGATTAGTGATCCATAAAGAAAAAGGCACCTTAAAATGATTGGTAAATGAATCCAGCCACTGCCAAGATGTGCACAAAATGTCTTTGGTTACTTGATCCTGATTGAACGGAGCTCCTTGAAAAATGACCTTATTTCTATGTAACCACACAGTTCTGATGGTTGCCAACCACAATGATCTCCATGCATCAATTTGTGAAGACCTTGTGTAATACTAGTGACTGTTGTAATACTAGTGTAATACTAGTGACTGTTGTTGGTGTGATTACTGTCTCGGATCCTATTTTTGGAGGAAGGCATCAAAATAATATTATTTAATATATATAATATAAAAAGTTATAATTAAATTATTAAATTTATATTAGAAAAAGTAAAATAATTACAAAAGTTAATCAATAATAATTTTTTTCATTAGTTAACAAAAATTTACCAATAATATTAAGAAAATAAATTGGTAATATTATATGTAAATAGGGAAATATAATATATTAACTTATTTCCACTTTTTTTTTCTTGGTGTAAACTTTCACAAGTGTTAACATAAAATTAAACATAAAATTATAAATAAGAATTGTCTTTAATTTTCTGTTTTTCCCTTCATCTTTAATTTTTTTGATTTTATTTCTATTTTTTAAATCATGGTCTATCTTTCTCGAATGAAATCTAAAAATCAAATTATGATTCTTTATCTTCTCGTCGTAAACATTTTTGTGATGTGTCATTATTATCGATTAATTTTTTTTATTGAATAATGATCTCTAATGATAACTCATTAAATAATGAATGTACAATATATCTTTTCTTATTATGTTTCACAAAAGAATATTTTTTATATAAAAAAAATGTATTTAATTATTTTTATGTTTACACCTTTAGCTTTAAAAATTGAGATCATAAATAATATTTAAATATTTATGAGAATAATATTTTTTCAATTCACTTAGGATACCAAAAAAAACTCAAGATCAATCTTATGTAATACATACATCTCTGAGAAGATAGGAATATAATTTACTTTAATAATATTAAATTAAATAAACTAAATTATATATTTTAACATAAGAGAAAAAAACAATGTAATACTTTTTTCTCTATTACAAATGAATGGCAACATGATTTACTCCATAACTTATATATGTTTCAAACACTTTTATTACAATTTTTACTTATAACACAATATATATATCATTAAAAATAGAATTTAGATCCTTTTTTGCAATTCTCTCTCTTCAACCTCTCTTCAGCAATAATAATAACCATTAGTTATATCTAATGATTCAAATTCAATCTTATAAAAATCATTTAAAAAATTATATTAATTACAATATTACAAAATTAATCAAAATTATTATAATATTATTTAAAAAAATCACATTAATTTTATAATAATATTTTTGACTATACAATAATCAAAATTATTTAAGAAATATATACAATTATATTGATAATAGTTAACATTTATTTTTAATTTTTAAGTTATATTGATCCAAATTCATCTAATAGCAATCTTATAAAAATCATTTAAAAAATTATATTAATTACAATATTACAAAATTAATCAAAATTATTATAATATTATTTAAAAAAATCACATTAATTTTATAATAATATTTTTGACTATACAATAATCAAAATTATTTAAGAAATATATACAATTATATTGATAATAGTTAACATTTATTTTTAATTTTTAAGTTATATTGATCCAAATTCATCTAATAGCAATCTTATAAAAATCATTTAAAAAATTATATTAATTACAATATTACAAAATTAATCAAAATTATTATAATATTATTTAAAAAAATCACATTAATTTTATAATAATATTTTTGACTATACAATAATCAAAATTATTTAAGAAATATATACAATTATATTGATAATAGTTAACATTTATTTTTAATTTTTAAGTTATATTGATCCAAATTCATCTAATAGCAATCTTATAAAAATTTAAAATAAATGTTAACTATTATCAATATAATTGTATATATTTCTTAAATAATTTTAATTATTGCACAGCCAAAAATATTATTACAAAATTAATGTGATTTCTTAAATAATATTATAATAATTTTGATTAATTTTGTAATATGATTAATGTAATTTCTTAAATAATTTTTATAAGATTAAATTTGAGTTATTAGATATATTCCATGATTATTATTGTTGCTAGAGAGAGACTGGAAAAGAGAATTGCATTCAAATCCTTAAAAGTATTTACTTATCATAAATTTTAATTACATAAAATAAATAAGGCTTAAATATGTTTTTAATCCCTCAAATTTAAGACAAATTTGTTTTTGGTCCCTCAAATTTAAAACTGTTGTTTTTAGTCCCTGTAATTTTCAAAAATCTTTTTAGTCCCTTAAGTCACCAATAACATATTTGAAAGTGACTAATTAAGATAGTTATGCAATATCAACCGAATTTAATGTGATATTTTCACTAATAGGGACATGAATAGGTAGATTTTATGCAATAATATTTGATAAATTACTTAACAAAATTTGAATATAAGGACTAAAATAAGATTTTTTTAAATTACAAGGACTAAGAATAACAATTTTAAATTTGAGGGGCCAAAAATAGCTTTACCCTAAATTTGAGGGATTAAAAACATATTTAAGCCAATAAATAATTATCACATATACTACCCATATATACTAAATGCTACTTTAATAATATTATTAAATATGTGTAATCAATAAATACTTAATACTGATAGTGTAATAATAATGTTAAATATGTGTAATCAATAAACACTTAATGCTTATAACTTTTTTTGAAAAAACTTAATGCTTATAAGTTAAGATAATAAATATTTCAAAATTTTCAATGTATCAAATAATGTTGAAGCGTTGAATGATAGATTTGAATCAAAATTTGATGAACAGTTCATCACACAAAAAACAATCATTATCATCCTCAATTACACACCGTTTGATTACAACACCTTGTCAGTTGAACGCATCTAAGATGCACACTGCCGTACCCCCTATTTAATCAAATTCAACACTCCACTCGGACACTGATCTCTTGAGATCTTTCTTCTTTCTCTTCACTTTCCCAAATTTCACGTTCCAACGAATTTCGATGGAGTTCAACAACAGTGTGATCCAAAACCAATCAACCCCAGTGTCAAATGCTCTTCCCACCGTCACTTATGCCTCCGCATCTTCATCCCAAGGTATATATGTAACGCTTCTCTTTCAAAAGACCCATTTGTTTTGTTGTCTAAAAAAACAAAACTTCTTTCACATGAATTCATTTATTCACTGTTCACATTCTAGGGTCTTGTGTGTCGATGGATGTCGAAGAAGTGTCACAGCATGAGTTAGAGAAACAACAGATACAGCGGAAGGAGGAAATCAGGAGAGAGATAATCGCCGGCGAGATGGCACGGCGGCGAGAGCTAGAAGAGGAAGTGAGGAGGGAAACGGCGTTCGAAAAATCATTTGGAATCCCAACGCAAAGACCAGAGGGGATCTCGTTTCAACCACCGGTTTCAACGTTTTTCAATCCAATAATGAACATCCCCCACCCTCACGTGGTAAGAAAGTGGAACCATTTGATAAATATCTTAGGGCTCATACATTTTATCTTAATGTTTCATACTTTAAATTTAGCACGTTATAATTGTTATGTGTAGACTGATCGAATGAATGAAATTTCGAATGTGTCCTTCAAGTTGACTGATCAAAATAAAATATAAATCATCCGATTTTATTCAGACTATTGAATTGTTAAATGTGTGAATGCATTAAGAAATAAATCCAGAAAATTTGAATCAATACATAAGAGATGTTGAAGTTCTTAATTGGCTGGAAAGCTTATAATATTTTGTTTATTTCATTGCATGCAGGCTAAGCCAGATGTTGTTCCTCATGAAGCAAAACGCAAAGCGGTGACACCTCTTCTGATTGATGACATTGAGAAGCATTCCTCATTTAGTTTTCAGATGATCCAACCCAGTGACGCGTACTGGAGTTGCTCCTTATGTCAGATTACTACTACAAGTGAGAGAAACTTGGAGGATCATCGTCAAGGTAAAAAGCATAAGGCTAAAGAAGCATCCATGAGTACTCCAAAAATAGGTATGATCACCAACGCATCAATAACATTAAATAAAAAAATATAAGTGTGTGAAATTTGTTGAAGCCATTGTTACAATGAATTCAGGGTTGGATGGTAGATCAAAGAACCAGATACTTCAACCTTGCCTAACCCTCACAGACACATGCATATTAAAATCTGCAAAAGAGGATCAGGTTGCACTGGAAAGCCAAGATTTAGGTGGCCTGGATAACAAAAATGAAACAGCTACTGAGCAAAAAGCAGGGAAAACAAAAGCATTGACACCAAAGAAGAAGTTTAAATTTTGGTGCGCATTTTGTGATTTTAAAGCTTACTCAGAAACCGACATGGAAAACCATAAGACTGGAGAAATGCACTTGGCTAAGATGAAGGAGTTTAGCAAAAACAATGGTTATCATGTTGAATGGTGACAAATGACAATTTATATATTTCTTTTACTGTTGTGAAAATTTATTTGCTTTTGAGTTATGATTATAAAACATTTCATGAGGAATTTGTTTTAATTAGCTGCAGGTGTGATCAAACTTGATGGGTTGCATCTTCATTCTATATATGTCAATTTTATCCTATATGGCACCAAATAAATAAATAAATAAATATATATATATATATATATATATATATA